CTCTGACAAAGAACCTGAAGCCTCGTGGTCAGCACTCAGGAATGTCATCTTCCCCCACACTCCATGCTCCACACCTGGCGGTGTTAAGATGGGGAAAATACTTTCTTAGCCCATGTGACCTTTACCTTACGGGGAAGCTGTGGTCCCTGTCARTCAGCAGAATCTAGTAAAACTGTCTGTTACAGCCATTTTCCTTTTTTATCCCCCCCCCCGCCTTTTTAAATATATTTTTTAGTTGTTGATAGACCTTTATTTAATTTATTTACATATAGTGCTGAGAATAGAACCCAGTGCTTCACATATGCCAGGCACGTGTACTACCACTGAGCCATAGTCCCAGCCCCTCCCCCTGTTTTTTGAGTTTTTCAAAATTAACAAGAACATAAATAAAACAGGAAGGCTTGATTGGAATGAGAAAAGCTAGTCTTCTTTCCTCAGTGACCATGATGAAGATAATTTTGGCTCATTTTGTGGTCATCCTTTAACCCAGAAGAAAATACAGTCAGCTCTCTATATCCCCTGCCATTCAACTGTGGATAGAAAATGTTCTTTGGTACATGATGGTTGAGTCTCTAATAAACATGTAGTCTTTTTCTTCTTATCATTATTTCCTGAACAATGTGGTGTAATATGTATTTACATAGCGTTTACATTTTGTTGGGTATACTAAGTAGTCTAGAGATGAGTAGGTTATGTACAAATCCTACCATTATTTTATATAAGGGACTAAGCATATGAGAAATTTGGTATTCTAGTTGGGGTGGGTAATTCTTGGTACCAGTTTTCCATAGATACCAAGAGAACTGCATATGCCTTATGGATTTTTCAATATTACATAATGGTGTAGTATCTGTTTTCATGGTCAGGTTTGACTTTTAATTAACTGGTGGAAAGCAAGTGGTATTGTTTGACTTCATCTAGGTTAAGAGGTGGAAATTAAGGAAGTAGAAGATAATTATCATACAAGAGAGCAAGTATCTCTTTTATGCTCTGAGGTTTTAACTCATAGTTGCTGGTTTTAACAATAAGGGGTTTACAGAGGTTTGTTGTTTGTTTTAAGATTGTTTTCACTCTGTATACAGAGATTACCCAAAATACTGAGAATTTTAAGGCAAAACTGATTATGGTCTGCTTCTATCAATTTTTTTAGGCAGTTTTTTACTATGTTTTGTAGTTCTCCCTTGCTAGATCTCTTGGCCCTATTAATCATGTGATTTATGGAATACTTCCTCTCCTTGATCTTTATGAATTAGGTTTCACTGGTGCTGGATCACTGTGCTAGGACCCCCTGTGTCTTAAATGAAGACATATCCAGAGAATTTGCCCTCAGTTTACATTGGTTTTCATTTAGTGGACTCATCCAATCTTGGCTTTATCTGTCTTCTCTGGATGACTTCCTCATATACCGAAATTTGGCAAATTTTGCTATACATGCCCTCACATTATCTAGGATTAGATCAAATTTTAGTGGTAGAAAACTGATAGTAATAATGAATTAAACAAGCAAAAATTTTCTCTCAACAGCAGTATCCTGGAATGGTATTGATACTCCACGAACATTCATTCCCCCAATTCTCTCTTTTGCTCTGTTATCCTCAATACTTGACTTCTACCTGTTGGTCCAATAAGGCTGCTTCTCATCTAGCTATCACATCTGCCTTCCTGTCAAGAAAGGGGACAGAAGAAAAAAAAGAGGAAAGCATACCCAGTCCTTTAGGAACTCTTCCCCCAAATCGCATAAATACAATTCCATCTAATTGACCAGAACTTAAAGCCTTGAACAGAACTTACTTAAAGCAGGGTGGAAAATGTAGTCTTTGGGGGGGGGATATCATGTATTCTCTTAAAATGTAGGCATTTTCATAATCTGGAGGAATGGGTAGCTGAGGTAACTAGCAGCTTCTGCCACATCTCCTGGGCCATTTCTCTGCTATTTTCCTTCTGTCTCTGTCAGCATGGCAAATTAAAAGTAAYGTGCTTGCCTTTGAACTTCCCCACCACTTTTTTGTTTAATATTTGTTTGTTGTCAATGGACTTTATTTTATTTATTTATATACAGTGCTGAGAATTGAACCCAGTGCCTCACTTATGCTAGGCAAGTGCTCTACCACTGAGCCACAATCCAGCACCCCCATCACTTTCTTTGTACTTTTAGTGTAGCACTTACCTTACTGCACCTTACATGATAGTTGTATAGGTTAATCAGGTAATCCCTTGCACTTTTCTATATTAAGTGTAAGAATATATTAAAATTGGTTAGTGCTGATTCTAAGTGGTTAACATTAGAGCAGAGTGGAAGAAAATAATATTACTTTTCAAGGGGACTCATTTAATTTGCTCACTGCTTAATTCACAGTAGACATACTGTATGATGAAAAAATTAGTGAAAGCCTTAATGGTAAGTTTCTATGGCTTTTATACAACGTGCATGTGATTAATCTTTTAGGATTAAGAAACGAAAAACTCTGAGATGGCAGAACTTTAATTATGAATAATTTGCATCATGTAAATTTTTTTCTTTTAGTTTGGCTGTACTCAATGGAATAAAAGAGGGACTAAAGAAAGCCATATCCGACCATACAGTAAAAGCCATTGTGATATCTGGAGAAAATGGAATATTCTGTGCAGGTAACACTTGTCTGACACTCTCCCATTATCTATAGAATCTAGTCACAGACTGAGATCCACACTGCATTAGCTGTCCCTCTGGGTAATAATATGAGTAATAAAGTAATGTGTGTGTTAGATACAGGAGACTAGAGTGGGACTGAGAAACACTGTGGAGAAAGGGACAGGTCCCAAGTGAGACCCAGAGAAGACTCTGGCTTTGACTCTTTTTTATTGAATTGAGACTTTGGTGAACATTTAGTTCAGGCTTGATGGCCGTGACACCTGCTGCTATACACATGCTGATGCATATATTGGCTTTGTACATCTCCACCCTATCTCCATAATCTCCTGAACTTCAACTTCTCTATGAAGTAGGGACAGTACTGTCTATGTTAGGGGTGTTTGAAAGGTCCAGTGAGATGCCTTCTCTGAACTCTCTTCATGCAGCATCTACACACAGAAGGTGATCAGCAAGGGTTACTGTTCACACATAGTCTTGAAATGAAGTTCTTTTTCCTTCTGGTGGGCATCCACCTCAGTGCCTGTGGCACTGCTTTATTGGGTCATTGTCTGAAGACGCTCAGATGTGGCAATAATATCTGAAGTGGTGATTTATTCAATGATATAGCACCTCTTCCTTTTTCCCCCAATGTATATATGGAATTCTTTGACAAAAGGCACATGGATATTAAGGTTTGGTGAATTTTTCCTACTAGGGCTATGTAAGTTATTTATTAATTATAATGAAGATAGTAGTAGTGTTTACATGTTATATTTTAAGCTGAGTAAATCCTACACTCCCCATTTACAGATGAGGAGGGTGAGGTGAGCATTGACTAACTATGAAATGGCTTACTCACTGTATACTTAAACTTTTTTTTAATCTTCTTTTTATTTATTTATTTATTTATTTATTTTGATGGTGCTGAGGGTTGAACCCAGTGCCTCACACGTGCTAGGCGAAGCACTCTACCACTGAGCTATGCCTCCAGCCCTGGACACTTATACCTGATGGGCAGCTAACATGATGACTTTGGGGCACAAAAAGTGAGATCAGAATTATGAGAACTTTATATTTTATTGTAAGAAAGAGGTGAAAGGGGCTGGGGTGGTGGCTCAGTGATAGAGCATTTGCCTAACATGTGCGGGGCCCTGGGTTCGATCCTCAGCAGCACATATAAATCAATAAAATAAAGGTATKGTGTCCAACTACAACTAAAAAATAAATATTAAAAAAGAGAAAGAGGTGGAAAATACAGAAAGTAATTAGAATTTGTGAGCAGAAAAAATTATTCTTCTAGAAGAACATTAGAAATTCTYAAAGTTAACATAATAGAAAGGTCTAGTATAGTGTACCCAAACATTGGAAAATATGTGTTTTTCTTAAATACATGTACAAAAATTAAGCAGGTCCTAAGTACTTGGGAGGCTAAGGCAGGAGGATGGCAAGTTCGATACCAGTCTTAGCAAATTAGTGAGACGCTGCCTCAAGGTAAAAGATAAAAAGGGGTAGGGGTTTAACTCAATGGTAAAGTATCCTTGGGTTCCATCTCCAATACTGAAAAAAAAAATACTGAGCAAGGAAGGCCTGGATCATCAAAGTTTGTCTTAGGCTTAGGTATAGCCAGTGATAGAGCTTGTGTTTCATGTTCTTCAGGCCTTGGGTTTACACTCCAGCACCAAAAAGAAAAAAGAAATCCATATGCAACAAAATGAAACTAAACCCCTCTCTCTCACCATGCACAAAACTCAATTCAAAATGGGTCAAGAACCTAGGAATAAAACCAGGGAACCCTGCATCTAATAAAAGAAAAAGTAGACCCTAATCTCCATCATGAGGGATTAGGCCCCAACTTCCTTAATAAGACTCTTATAGTGCAAGAATTAAATCAAGAATCAATAAATGGGATGGATTCAAACAAAAAAGTTTCTTCTCAGCAAAATAAACACTCTGTGAGGTAATTAGAGAGCCTACATCTTGGGAGCCAATTTTTACCTCTCACACATCAGATAGAGCATTAATCTCTAAGGTATATAAAGAACTAAAAAAACTAAACACCAAAAAAAAAAAATAACCCAATCAATAAATGGGCCAAAGACCTGAACAGACACTTCTCAAAAGATGATATKCGATCAATTAACAAATATATAAAAAAGTTCAACATCTCTAGCAATTAGAGAAATGCAAATCAAAACTACTCTTAAGATTTCATCTCACTCCAATCAGAATGGCAGCTATTATGAAGACAAACAACAATAAGTGCTGGCAAGGATGTAGGGGAAAATGTACACTCATACATTGCTGGTGGGACTGCAAATTGGTGCAGCCAAGATAGAAAGCAATATGGAGATTTCTTGGAAAATTGGGAATGGAACCACCATTTGACCCAGCTATCCCTCTCCTTGGTCTATACCCAAAGGACTTAAAAACAGCATAGTACAGGGACACAGCCACATCAATGTTTATAGCAGCACAATTCACAGTAGCTAAATTGTGGAACCAACCTAGATGCCCTTCAGTAGATGAATGGATTAAAAAATGTGGCATTTATACCCAATGGAATATTACTCGGCAATAAAAGAGAATAAAATCATGGCATTTGCAGGTAAATGGATGAAGTTGGAGCAGATTATGCTAAGTGAAATTAGCCAATCCCCCAAAACCAAATTTCGAATGTTTATCTGATATAAGGAGGCTGATTCATAGTGGGGTAGGGAGTGGGAGCATGGGAGGAATAGACGAACTCTAGATAGGGCAGATGGGTTGGAGGGGAAGGGAGCAGGTATGGGATTAGAAATGATGGTGGAATGTGATGATCATTACTATCCAAAGTACAGGTATGAAGACACGAATTGGTGTGAATATACTATGTATACAACCAGAGATACGAAAAATTATGCTCTATATATGTAATATGAATTGTAATGCTTTCTGCTGTCATATATAAATTAAAAAATTATATAAAAAGAGTTTATGATAATTTTTAAGATTTTACAGTATTCTTTCAATAATAAATATATTTATCAACCTTTACTTAATTCTCACATCAGTCATTTAAGATAGGTCATGAGACAAAAGATTCAATAACTTACTTAATGCCATAAAACAAATTACACATATTCATAGGGAAAAGACTAAGAATTTGCCAAGTCTTAAATTATTATTTCTGTGTGGTGATATTTAGGGTGATCCATATGTTCTTTATAATTCTGTACATTTTTCAACTTCCCAAAATGCATGTGTTATTTTTATAATCAGGAAAAGCAAGAAATATTGTTATTTTCACCAATCATAAAAAAATCTATCAAGGTATAATTCTAAGCCAGTCAATTAACACAGCTCACAAATATGTATACATTGTACCCTGACATTTTGTATTATGGCTCATAATATTAGCAAAGATAAGAGACTAAACTTCTGTGAATAAGGCTGATAAACAGATAATGCAAAAAACCAGAGGCCAACTCAGTCTCAGAATGATGGTCTTTGGTGGAGACCCCTGTCTTCCTTCTCTGATATTTTAAATTTGCCTCGAGCTAGAATTGCTAGGTAGTATGTGGAAAGAAAGATCTTAGACTGTTACAGGGTTCATGGAAGATATTTAAAGATCTCATTTTGTTCTACATCTCTCAAACTACTTGTTTCATGTGTGTCCAGCCTGAGGACAAAGTGTCTCCTGGGCCCAAAGAGATCTCAAGGTGATCAGGTCCCTACATATTAATAACAGAAGCATGTGTCCTTCTCAGCCATCTTTTCTCCTTGTCTTTATGTCCTGTAGGTGTGGATATCCACAGCTTCAGCACTCCTGGATTCTCTGGCTTTGATTTGGGAAGTTTAGTCGATGAATTACAGAGATATCAGAAGCCCGTGGTAGCCGCTATCCAAGGCGTGGCCTTAGGAGGGGGACTGGAGCTGGCCTTGGGCTGTCACTATAGGMTTGCTCATGCAGAGGTAACAGCTGAGCCTCCATGTGGAGGTTGGTGTGGGGCTTTTCTCTAGGGAAAGTTCTAACTGTAGCCATGAGCATCAGAGGTGGGCATTTTGAATGGTGAGCTCTCTGGTTACAACTCCTGGGTATCTCCAGCACTGGTGCTGAGCTGTCCTGTAGGGGTCCAGCTATTGTTTGGGGGCTGAAATACTTGCATTCTGGTTGGTAAATAGCTGCTGCTCTGAGCCTTCTGTCTCTTTGCTTCCCTTAACCTCTCCAGGATCCACTAACTAAAGGGAAACTCCATTCTCTTGTACTTCCTACAGGTTTTTTCCCTATGTAATTTTTTTTTAATAGTCCACCCTCCCTTGACACACACAAAAAATCACATTGGGATTTTATTATATGTGGTTTATACTCTATTACAAATATATTGATATCATATTTATTTCATTATTAAACATTCTTTATCCTGCCTTGTTTTCTGTTTTTTTTTTTTTTTTTTTTTATTGAGGGGTTGGGTGTGTGTGTGCGTGTGTATGTGTGTGTGTGTGTGTATGTACACACATTACAGGGGATGAACCCAGGTCCTAAGCATTCCTAGGAAGGTGCTCTACCACTGAGCCATATCCCTTGTTCCATCTCTACCTTTAAATTAAAGAGTTTAATATATGCTTACATTTGCTATATTTACTGATATGGAAAAATTAACTTCTGACATTTTTCTCTTTGTTTTCTACATTTTATGTCTTTGTTTCTTAGTTCCTTGGTTGATACTGTCACTTGTGATTAACAGGTATTTTTCTAGTGTGTCCTGTTAATTATCCTCTGATATCTTTTAATGTATTCTTTTGAGTTATATTCTTAGTGGTGATGGCCTTAGTGATTGTAACTAATATCCTAATTTATAACAGTCTAGCTCAGATTTATATTAACTCCTTTTCAATAGTATGTAAACATTTTCTCCACTATTGCTATTACCCACCCCTTTATGCAGTTACTGTCCCAAATTATAAATTTATACATTGGATGTTCATTAGTATGTTTATTCGTATTGTTTTTTGTAGTGGTCTTTTAAATGTGAGGATAAAAATGGATTGCAAACAAAGAAGTGTTAGCACTGTCTTTCATGTTTATCTACATAGCTGTGCTTAACCAGAGTCCTTTGTTTCTTCATGTAAATTCTAGTTACTATCTAGTATCCTTTCATACCAGCTAAAAGGATTTGTTGTAGGATTGGACAGCTAGCAATGAATTCAGTTTTTATTTACCTGGGAAGGTGTTAATTTTGCCTTTCTGCCTATTCTGGGTAGTTGATATAAATGAGTTCATACAATATGTGGTCTTTCATGACTGGTTTCTTTCATTTAGCATAATGCTTTTATGGTTCATCCATATGGTGGCAAAAATCAGTTGGTTGTTCCTCTCTAGTATTGAATAATATTCTGTTGTATGGCTATGCCACATTTTATTTATCCATTCATCAGTTGATGGATGTTTCAGTTGCTTCTATTTTTTTGTTTTTTTTTTTTATGAACAATGATGCTTTGAAAACACACATAAGAGATTTTTGTGGGCTTATGTGTTTATTGCCCTTGGGTTTATACTACGTGACCTTGCTGGGTCACATGATAAATCCATGTTTAACTTTTGAGAAATTGCCAAATTGTTTTCCARAATTTCTGCACATTTTACCTTTTTGTCATCCATGTATGAGTGTTTTGTCTTCTCCATATTGTCTGCCTTTTTTCTTGAATTCATACTAATGGGTGTCAAGTTGTATCTCATTGTGCTTTAGGTTTGCATTTCCCTGATAGTTAATGATACTGAGCATCTTTTCATGTGTTGATTGGGCATTTTATCCCTTCTTTAGAGAGATCCTTTGTCCAGTTTTAATTGGTTGTCTTTTTATTTGGAGTTATGAAATTTCTTTGTGTATTCTGGATACAAGTCCTATATCAGATCTATAATCTGYCAATACTCTCTCCCATTCTGCGAGTTTCCTTTTCCTTTACCTATGCTTCCTGGCTCTTGCAAGTTCCCAGAAAGCTTTTCCTGAAGGATATTAAAATTTTGTTGTCTGAGACAGGTCATAATTGACTAAAAAAATGTGCCAGAGCTAGAAGTATGTTTAAGCATGAAGACTTAGAACAGCTCTGGTTATGCTGTTAATTAAAGGAGAGCATATATTTTAGTTTGCCCGGTGGAAATTCTTGCTGAATCCAATGAAACAATGTTTGGGGGGGTATAGGAAATCCAGGGGTTGTTAATCTTAGATATGAATGTATTACCTCATTGTCGGCCTTCAATCTGATAGGCTCATATTGGCTTCCCAGAAGTCACATTAGGAATTCTTCCTGGTGCAAGAGGAACCCAGCTTCTCCCCAGACTCATTGGAATTCCTGCTGCACTTGACTTAATTACATCAGGTCAGTGTAAACCTTGCCTGTGACTGTCTAGACGAACCTGAGGAACTGGACCAGCATTTAGGAAAATCCTGGCCTGGCCAGTATCTACTATGTAACCTTAAGGGGACAGTTTAACTTTGTCTTCAAATTTTCTCATCTATAAAATGGAAACAGTATTTCTCTTGACAGCTTCTCAAATGTTACTATTATGATCCCATGTGCAAATCATGGAAGGAAAGTATATGCAAAGCAATAATCAAATTTAGAGTTGTATTATAGTTTGTTGAATTATTGCTGTTCACATAGGGAACATTATATTCAGATCTGGTTTAGAAATTTTAATAATAATAAGATTCAAAGGGCTGGGGTTGTGGCTCAGTGGTAGAACATTTGCCCAGAATGTGTGAGACATCACATAAAAGTAAGTAAATACAATAAAAGTATAAAAAATTCATAATAAGTTTTTTTAAAAGAAAAGATTGAAAATCAAAATTTTCAAGACAAATTTTCATTTCTCAAGTATTAAGATATCAGCTACAAGTGGAAATTTTTCTTTTTAAATAGGGATTATGAATAATATAACACTAAATCAGCATAAAAAAGAAACTTGGTATTCTTTAGCAGTAACTGTCCACCCCCTTCTAGATTTACCAAATATTCAGGTTTGTAAGACAAACCTGAATTTACTCTAAACAAGTATAATTAATTATGAGATCCCATGTTAGGCAATTTATCTTTCTTTTCCTTAGATTTCTCAAACATGCATTTAATAGTAGGGGTGATGTGGTGGTGAACACTAGGTAGGTTAATACATACAGTGTGCTTAAAACCCTCGTAGATATGACAGAACTTAGCTATTTACTGTTATTCATATATGTCTTTTTTCTGAGTAAAATTAAGATGAAAATCTTAGTAGTAGACTGACCCTGAAGAATGTATGAGAAAAAAGAGCAAATTATTAAATTTTAAAAAATTATTTATTTTGCCCAAAGATATGTTAAACTATAATGAATTTATCACTACTATTTTAAAATTATTTAATATATAAACATTTTTTAAATTCTCAATTTTAATTCCTAATACAGTAAATATTGATAGATATAACCTATATAAACAATAGGATTTTGGAATTCTTTATAATATATAAGAATGCATAGGGGTTCTAAGACTGCAGTGTTTGAGAATTGCTAATAGATATCTGTATGTGTTGACAAAGAGACTGTGATATAAAAACTGCATATGAGACAATATCAACAATAATGTGATTCTATATGCATTAAAATAGCTTTGTTGTTTTAGATGAGGTGGTGTTATAAGTCCTATAGACTATGAGAGGAGACTTAGAAAAACTGAAGTATTAAATTTATTTAAAAAATCTAATGAAAATTGTTTTAATTTACAATGATAAGTACATTTTAAATAATGTGAGTCATTTTTAAGTGTCTGATTTAGAATTCTTTAGAGGATGCTCAAATCCAACATATTAGAGAAATTCACAGCCCATGACAGAGTTTATTGAGCAAAAGACAAAACAGAAAGGAAACAAAGCAGCATGAAATATATCAAGAGTTGCAATGGTGTGAAATGAGTCTGTAAATCCTAAAGTTTACTGAATTAAGCATATAGGGGAACATTGAAGAATTTTGTGACCCTGTTTTCAGTAATTGGTCTGAAAGATGATAGTATCTTAGGGAAAATCAGGAAAAAAACTGGCTTCTTTGATAAGAAGAAATGAAGCAAACTAGAATTGTTCTATTCTTAAAGCACCGCTTCAAGAAATGCCACCATATTTAACATGATGAAGAACAAGTAAAAACAGCAAGAAGGTGACAGATTTTTTGATTTGCATAGAAAAGGTCACAGTGAATTAAAAGAAAGCTACCATTAGAATCATACACCTGTCTTTTCGAGTAGACTGTATAATTTCAGGGAAACTTATGATTGACATCTGGGAAGTTTCCATGAAGAAAAAAAAATGTAAAGTTTGGAAAAGAAGTGATGAAGAAAACAGGAAAAATTTGAGATTCTCTGGCTTGAAGAGAATGTTTTCTAACTCAGTTGCCATGGGATCTCCTGACATTGACCTACACAGAGCTCTTCTTGGAGCCTGTTGGACAAGGGTTGTTAACTATATTGGCATCAGATTTGCCATTTTAGGCTGGGAGCCATTTTATCTAGAGGCTCCAAAGTTTTGATTCTAAGGCAATGCTGCTTAACTTCCCATAAGAACATGTGCCTGCTGAATGATCAACCCCACCCCGGTTTACAACACAACTCCTAAGCAGCTTATGAAATTCCTCTGTGGGCTATAAAGCTTCTCTGTGAGGGTTGACACACTGCTGCTCTCCTCAAAGGACAGCCTTGTCGGTTTGCTTCATGCTACTGACAATAAATCTCTTGCATGAGATTCCAGTGTGTGGTGTGATCTCTGGACTTTGCATGGACTCTGTGGGTGTCCTTTCAATCTACACTGAGGGCTGCCCAAGAAAAAACAAGTTTAAAGCACAGCCCGAGGATTTGATTTGCACATCTTAAGTCCTTAGTGTTGCTGAAAGCTTGGTCCTTGTCCCTAATGCCAATCCAATAATGAGGACACAGTTTTGAGAAAAAGGAAAAATGTTTATTGCTTTGCTAGCAAAGGAGAAACACAGGGGACTCCTGTCTGAAAGGCTGTGATTCTGCCCATCGGCAGGAACAGGGAACTTTTAAAGAGGCGACTCAAATGCTACATTCCACATGTTCTCTGTTGGAGCTATAATTTCACTTGTTAATTTGGGAGATATCAGTTATTTCTGATATCTTCTGGTACCATCCCCAAAGTCTGCATTGGTTTTTCCTATCCAGAGAAGATAAATCTGCTTAAAATGGGGAAGAAAGGTAATCCTGTCCCTCCTGAGATTAGGGATAGGGAGAGATTAGGGAGGAGCAGGGAGAGAGGAAGAAAAAGAAACCGTCCATTATAAAAATAAACTGTAGGGCTGGGGCTGGGGCACAGTGCTGGTGCACTTGCCTAGCATGTGGGAGGCACTGGGTTTGATTCTCAGCACCACATATAAATAAATAACATAAATGTCTATCATCAACTAAAAAAAATAATAAAATAAAAATAAACTGCAGTGGCAGAGCAGCAAGGGCTATATTCAAAGCATAAAGTGGACCACTGTTACATTTGTTCTTTGAAACAGAATAAGCATGCTTGGAACGTGATTGACACTGGAAGAACAGCAGTGGTACTCTCTTTTTCATGAAATTAAAGCCAGAAGAAATCAGTACAGATGAAGAGCTTTTCATTCTATTTGTGGGTGGCTCACATTTCCCTGCTTTGCTGTCCTAGAGATCCTTTTAGCACCCAGGTTTCCATCTTCCATTTATGTCCCCTCAGAGCCCTTAACCTGGTTAGGTTGATTTACTTAACCTTTACCCAAGTAACTGTGTACATGGGACACTTGACCCCTGACACCACTCACCTACTCCACACCCCCTCCGCACTGCAGGAGAGGATCTGGAAGTCTGCTTTCAAGGCACTTCCAGAAAAGTGCCCCAAGACTGCTTTCCAGCAGGACCCCTGGAAAATCACTGAACTGTTCACCTGGTCAAGAAAATCCATTTGTAGCTCTCTGAAGCACTCGCGGGACCCAGGAATGGAGGTTTTTGTTGTAGAGGCGGCATCTACCAACACGTGAAGGGCAGGGAAGACCCAGGAATTATTGCCACCAAGACTGATTTGATGAACCCTTTTCCAAAGTTGCAAGTACGCAAATGCTTTGTCATTGTCTCCTTCTTACTGGCCCTGTGCTTAAGGCCACAACCCCTGCTTCAGAATATGCACATCGGATGACAAAGATAAAGAACTGCCAGGACAGATCTTTAGTGATGCAAACCCTGATAAACTTTTGTAACACCCTTGACTTTCCATACTGAGGCTGCCAAGATGACCCTGAACACAGCAGGTTGCTAGCACTGCCACTCCTGACACCCAGTGTTGCCACTTGTGTGAGGTGAGATTTAAACTGTCGCTATTGCTTAGTGTCATTGACACCAGACTGATTCAGACCCTCAACAGAGCACTTGTTTCACCATTGCTTCTTGGGACTAGAAGAGCAATTACCTTTCAGCTCTGCTTTCTTTTCAGCTTACATAGTAGGAGCCAGGGCTCCCAACCACATACAATATATTCTACAAACCAAGGAAGGGTGGAGAGTCTTGGTAGCCAATAACTATTGGCATACTATACCATTTGTCCTGTGTAACTTTCATTAGACCTATATAACATCATTTTAATTGGTATAGTACTTTTTTCCCCATCTACTCAACTACATGTGTGTTTGGTGACCATTTTGTAAACCAGCTTCAGTCCTGGTGTGTGGTAGGTACAAGATAGATAGTAGTGCTGCTGCCACTTCTATTAAGTTTATCCAACAGTCACCATCTTCTATATTTCTATAGAGATTTGTAGGTTGTAAAGTGCTTCTATAGTTATTTAGAGACTATTAAGAGAATAGAATATATGATTTTCACCCTAATACTCAGAATTACTGAGATAAGCATAATTATTCCTATTGATCGGTGAGGAAATTGTGTTCCTGGTGCACCTCCTCCTGGTCACAAAAACAGGAAATGTGGGGCTACACCCTGAATCCAAGGTCTCTGGCTGCATCTGCATGATGTTTCAACTCCAGCCATCAAGGGTCCTTGTTCTTTTCTCTTAATAGCAGATGTTTATATATCTGGGGAAGACAGGAGGGCTCTCACTTTAATCTCACATCACTCTTTGATTTGCTTTATTTTGTTTTGTTTTAGGGAGACACATTTTGGCGGATGAAGCACTTAAGCTGGGCATTCTAGATGAAGTTGTGGATTCAGATCCAGTAGAAGCAGCAATCAAATTTGCCCTGAGAATTTTAGGTAAGAAGATAAAGATGATAACTGCACAAGATTGGAAACAAGCTAATGTCCATTTTAATAAGACACTCCTTAAATACCTTAGGGGTCACCCATGTGATAGAGGATGATAAAACTTAAAAATGAATGTACTAACATGGCATAAATTCCATAAAATATTGCATTATTAATGATATCACATCAGTTGTGGTAGTTTGCCAATGGTCAGGGGTGATGGTATAGAATGTATATTTGGGGAGACTGGATAGATGTCACTTTTGGCCTATGCACAAAATATTTATGCTAGAATCTCACAAGAAATGAGTAGTTGCCTCTGGGAAAGGTTCTTGTCAGCCAGCAGAAGCAGTTTAAAGGAGACTTTTTACAGTTCACCCTTTTGTGCCATTGGAGTTTTTATAATCAGAAGTGGTTTTTCAGTGAAGAAATAGAATTAAAGCTGAAACAGATAGAGGAGCACACACACTTCAGCCAATAGAAGTTACGCTCTCTAACTCCCCACAATAAAGCCCTGGCCTTTGAAACTCCTGTCTCAGCAAGGCAAGTTCCATCCCTCAGGCCTTCTTGCCTTACACACTCAGGAGTGTGGAAGGGAACTCTAAGACCTCCTTTCATGGCAAACTCCTTTGCTTGCTCATTTGCTTGATTTTTAACGGTTCCTTTTCAGTCTGTGGAGGTGGTGAGCTCTAAATGAGCAAGGAACAGGGTGGGGAAAAAAATCCCAAAATAAATAACTGGGAGGAGTGTTGGGCCACAGGCAGGATGGAGTGTGTGCTGGTCTCCCGCTTGGTGGCAGCAAAGGCTCAGGGTAATTCCAGAGCTTTCCTGGGGAAACCAGTCATTGTTTTGCTGACCCAGGCCAACACTCTCTTGAAGTCTTGTTTTCTTGTGAGTGTGGCTCCAGCCAGTTACTGTTCCAATGCAATGGTAAGGCTTGCAATGGGGAGGCCAGGGACTGTGGGGAGAGAATACTGGTAGCTCCTACAGAGTTGGCAAGTTCCCACCCAAATGGAGGTGGACTCCCTGCTGTCCTCTGCCTCCAGGCTGTCTTCACCAGGTCTGCCCCACAGAGCTTCCTGAGGGGGCTGCTTGTTTTGTTAGAAGTCATTTGGTTGACTCAGAGCAAAGGCTGTGTACAATTGGGGGTCCTTGTATTATTCTTTGCACTGGGGTTCAAGGTATACCCAGGTCAACATTTACTCCCGGGGCTTTAGTTTATAAACACCTCAGCTGTTTTCCTGAATTTCTCTAGATTCTGATTTGAGAATTAGATTTCTTCAAGAAATAAATTAAAATCATGGWCTAGTGTACTTATAAAATGGTGTGATTTTCCTTTCTTACTCTGTTTTAAAGTTAATTTTAAGTGTTAAATTTAAAAATTCAAATGACATGTAACATTTCTGTTTTAGCCACTTGAATTGAAGCTTACATCACTTGTCCACTTGGTGGCATCCTAACATTGAGGTTCATGTGCTTTAAAACTTGTTAATTTCACCAATAGTTCTGGCTTTGAACAATTACATGTAACTATTTTAAATTATAGCCATGAGGACAATATACACATAAAGTCAAGTGTTTGTGATCCAGAAATGTTTTAAGATATTAAAGTACATGGCTGCATAATTGCTCAGTGGAAGAGCAAGGCCTACCCCTGGGTTCAAGGTTTAGCCACACAAAAAACAAAGCAAAATAAAAACTATCTTTATCTATTTATCTATCTTAAATTCATATATATCTTATAATTATACTTACATAGAATATGTATGAATACACACAAGAACTGAAAGGAAATAGGCACGAAGTAAAGATATTTTGTCCCACAATTTCCTAAACATTTAGTCTTTGCTTGTTTTGATTTTTTTCAAGCCTGCAGTATGCTAATTTTCTCAAGCATTCCAAAATTATTTTTGGTTCTGTTTCTGTTTTTTTTCAGCTTCACATATTCATTTATTTATTTTGCAGATCTAATTTGGCTTTTTTTGTGACTCTAGAATCAAGTAGTATTTTTAGACCACCCACAGCTCAGAATGCCCCCTCAGCTTCACTGAGGTGTAATTTTCACACAATAAATTCATCCAAGCCAAGTATAGAGTGGTGAGTGTTGGTGACAGTGCATAGTCATGTGCCCAGTGCCACACCAAGGTGCAGCTCTGTCACCCAAGAAAGTATTCTCAAGACACTTTCTGGTATGTCCCCTTGTCTTTCACTTGGCCACAGGCCACCAGTGACCTGCCTCCTATCACTGAAGTATTATATTTTTTAGAATTTCATGTAGATGGAATCCTGCATATAGAAGGTGTCTTTGTGTCTGGATTTTTTCATGTAGTACATTGCTTTTGAGTTCATATGTTTTTGTATCTTGAGTTAAGTTACACTGGATTACTGAAAAATTTCCATAATGTGGGTAAACTCCAATTTTTTTATCTGTTCATCACCTGATGAACATTTAAGTTGTTTCCACTCCAGAATTTCACAGGTCTTTGTAAGTGTATATTATCATGTCTCATGGGTAAATTAATAAGAATAGGATTACCAGGTTATAAAGTAAGTGCATACTTAACTGTGAAATGCTTTCGAAAATTGATTAATGAAAGAATCATTAAAAGTCACTAAATTTTGCAAAGCAAATAAGAAAAGATAGAAAAATAATGGGGCAAGATTAAGTTTAAATAAGTGCTCATTGTACTGATTGTAATACATCCRATTAAGTGGGCAATTAGGCACTCAGGTATTGAGGTTTTAAAGTATTCATATGGTTGCCAGGCATGCCATTGCTAGCCTGTAATCCCAGAGGCTTGGGRGACCCAGGCAGGAGGATAGCAAGTTCAAAACCAGCCTCTGCAACATAGCAAGTCCCTAAAGCAACTTAGTGAGACTCTCTCTAAATAAAAAATAGAAAATGACTTGGGATGTGGCTCAGTGGTTAAGTGCCTCTGGGTTCAATCCCCAATACCAAAAAATAAAAAGAGGGGCTGGGGTTGTGGCTCAGTGGTGGAACGCTTGCCTCATATGCATGAGGCACTGGGTTTGACCCTCAGCCCCACATAAAATAATAAAAGTTAAAAAAAAATGAAATAAAATAAAAAGAAATTACTCATATCTTTGACTTAGTGTTTCTATTCTTGGTAATTTACTATAGAGAAATTATAACAGAAGTACAAAGATTTGAGCATAGTATTGATCACTGAAGCTTTGTCAATATAAAATATTGGAAACAACTTCTACCTTAATTTTATAGGATTAGTTACCTAATTAATGATAGAAATCAAAGAAGCAACTCCATTTAACCATTGGAACTTCCATTTTTGAAGAGAAATGAAAAACTTGCAAATACAGATACACATTATATATATTATATTATATACTATATATATGTGTGTGTGTATATATATATATATTTTTTTTCCCTTTTTTGATACCAGGGATTGAACCCAGGGGTGCTAAACCCCTGAGCCAGATTCCCAGCCTTTTTTATTTCTTTATTTTGAGGCAGGGTTTCACTAAGTTGCTTAGGCCCTCTTAAATTGTTGAAGCTGGCTTTTAACTTGTGATCCTTCTGCCTCAGGCTCCCAAGCCTCTAGGATCACAGGCATGCACCACAGAGCTCTGCTACATATAATATTAAGAAAAAAACCCAGAAAGGAAATTTCACAAATATGATTGGTTCATATACTTATTTGTATAAGGAAAACTCTTATCAGAAGATATAATAGGTTTTTAACAGAAGTTTTACTGGAGTTGTAGGTAACTGAGATTCTTGGTTAAAAAAATATCTATGTACCTATCTATATATGTGTATGTGTGTGTGTATCTTTTCCTAGTATCTGAGTCATTAAATTTACTGGAAGAAAAAATGGAGGTCCCACCAATGTGGAAGGGGTGCAGTCTCATAGAGAAGGCTCAGGACTGGGTGATAGAAGACCTGGATTCAGATCTCAGCCTGAGTCATGTGGACCACAACAGATCTCTTCTTTGGGGTCTTATTTCCATTATTCATAAAAGGAAAGTGCTCCTCAAAATTAATTGGTTTCAAATCATATTGCAAGAGTGCAAAGGCTATAAGCGAGCTCTCAGTGTTGGTTCTTTTTTTTAAATTTTATTTTATTGGTTATTCTTAGTTATACATGGCARTAGAATCCATTTTGATAAAATCATACAAGCATAGGATAAATCTTATTCTAATTAAGACCCCATTCTTTGGGGTGGGCAGGATGGTGAGTGTTTGGTTCTTAACTACAACTGAAGTGGCTGTCCTGCATCTCTTTTGGGGTTTAGTAATTAAAATCCCTTGGGAAACTCTAGGATGCTTACTGATTACTTTTATTTTTTAATGAGTACCAATGTTTGAAATTCTGTGATATCTTGGTGCTGCTTTGTCATACATAAATGCTAGAGTCAGAAGGTAGAGAAATGGGGCTGATCAACAAAGGACTGACTCAGGGAATCTTATCTACACTTGCTGCTTGTTAGTTCACAAAATGTTTAGCTGTGCTTATTGATTTTTTTCCTTTTATTTGTCTTTGTGCACTCTCTCTCAATGCTTTCCTCTTTTTTTTGTTTAATTTTCCTTTATTTGCTTTTAAAGGTAGCTATAGGAATGTGGTTTTTTGACAAAACAAAATTGGTATAAACTTGATGGGGAGGATCCACAAAATACTAATGCACTAATTAATATTAAATACATATAAATTTATTATAAATGAATACATGCATGTGTGTTAATCTGTTTTTCAATAAAGCTAGTGTAATTATCTTCATATGGAGCAATGGTTCTCTAATTTTACTGTGTATCAGAATCTCTTGATTGGCTTAAAACATAGATTGCAGGGATCCACTCATTATTTTCTGATTCACTACATAGAGGGTAAGGACCAAAAGTTTACATCTCTATCAAGTGCCTATGTGATGATAATGCTACCTTCTGGGGACCACTCTTTGAGAACCATTGGAAGGGAGGGTAAGAATGGAGACAACATTTTCTGGGATTTACTTTTTCTACATGGCTT